AGATCACCAAAAGGGCAAAATGGTCATTTTTAGGGTTTTGATTGCACAAAGGTAATTTTTGACTGTTTGACCTAACCAATGGCAAACCAAGCTCATATATGGACTCAAGGACCCCATGGAATTGTCTTGACATGTTCAACAAATTCAAAAGATCCCAAATGTACAAGATTGACAGATGAATTTTCCAGTCAATTGATCAATTTTTGACTGTGTACTGAAAAGTCAAACTTTGACTTTTTGGTCAAAGTCAAGTATCAAGATTCATTTTTCATCAAAACATGCCAAATCATGAAACTTGTTCATCAAGAAATCAAAAATTGCAAATTAGGGTTTGAAATGAAGATATTTCATAACTTAGAAATTTTCTAAGTTATGAAAATTCCTAATTTTTTCCTAACTTTGTCCCACTTTTCCATTAAGATACATTTGGATTCAAGGAAAACTCAAAACATGAAAGTTGTAGTCCATTGCAAAATCTAAAACTTTGATTCACAAAGTTTCCTCAAAAAAAGCTTGTAGCTCAAGTTATGATTTTTTGAACAAGGGTGCAAAACATTCTTAACTTAGAGAAATTTTGACCTATTTTAGGCAGGATTTTTGCCTAACTTCATGGCCAATTTTCACATTCTTCCACTTGTAATTTCAATTTGCATTACAAAGATGGATTGTAGTACACATTCCAAGCTTTCCAAAATGTCCAAGAACTCCTCAAACAACCTTGTGGTTAGGGAGAATCGAATTTGGCAATATGGGCAAAACTCACTTTGTTCATGGCCAATTTACATGTCCATAACTTTGCATTTTTGAACTCAGCATGCTCTAAGCTAGATTACAGGTCCTTTATCTCATCCACACTCATGAATTTAATGCAAACCCCTTGTGTTCAAGCCTTATCTTATGTGTTTAAGCATTGCATACAAGATTGAGCCATAATTAGAAAAAGCAATATATCCATTTCGGTAAAGTTGCACTTTATGTCAAATTTGCAATCCAAGTGGTACAATGCATATCTTTGGACACAAGATTCATGGAGATATCACACTGATCAAGGCTCAAGTGTGCAGCATACTTGAGGGGCCTGCACAAGTCTAGAAAACCAACTTGCCATTTCTTGCTTAAGAGAGAAGAAACCTTGCATAACAACGACCAACTCTCATTTCTGCTAACACAAGCTAAGACAAACTTGTTGTACACCTTCCAAACATCAAACCTAAGCTAAGGCACGAGCAAAACACCTTCCAAACCTCATCAAACCTCAAAACACCATCCTACTGCAGAAAACAGAGTCACCTCTGCAGTTGGACTTCCATAACTCAATCCACTCGTGCATTCTTGCTAAAAACAGTTCATACACATTCCATACCACATATACAAGCTATCCCAAGCATTGGACACGACCTGTAACTCCTCTAACCAACTTCACCATTTTCACTTTTTCTGTTTTGCAGGTTGATTGCCATAGCTTGATTCACTTGGTTTCAAAGCAAGCTAAAGGTTAGAATAGCATCCCTGGACTTCAAGCAAGCTGTACCAATCCTCACCTTGCCTTGAAAGTGCCTCCATTGCCAGACACGATCCAAGTTGAACAGGTAAGTTCATGGACTTCTATCTCTCAATATAGGAAGAGTTAACTTTAAGTTTATGAATGAAAAATGTTCTACTCATGGCCCTGAAGCTATGCATATCCTCACTTTCCATTTATATTGCATATGCTGAGAGTATTTTGAACCTGAACATTGACAAAAACTTAGGTTAAGAATTAGGGATGGAGAAATTCTCTCTCATTTCTGAGAGTTAAGTTGAGTTTTTTATATGTATGGAATCGTGGCTTGATGCTTGACATCTTTCATGTTATGAGTTTGTGCTGAAAATCAAGAAATCAGGAGATAGCAGAAATACGTGTTTTGTTGTTCAAGGAAGCTGGAGGTTGAAGAAGACAAAGTCTTTGGGCTGGGCTTGTGACATTTTTCCTTTTTGCACCATGTTTTTACATTTGCACCTCCTTGGCCCATTGCATTTTATTTTCATTATTTTTGACTTTTGATTTTTGTTTTTGACTTATTTATTTTTGTTAAAGTATAAAAAATATTAAAATTATTTTTTTCATCTTTTTTTGCATTTTATTTGATATTTATTTGGCTTTATTTAGTTTTGTACATAAATAAACATAAATATACTTTTATTTAAAATAACTAAAAATAATACAAATACTTTTATTTTCTGATTTTTATTTTATTTTTACCTTTTGAAAACATTTTTATATAAAATATACTTTTTTTGTAAATATTAAATATTTTATTTTTGTACATATAATATATATTTAATAGATAATGTAAATACTTATATACTTATTATTATATTTAGGTTAAAAACACAAAAAGAATACATTTTTATTTTTATTAATGTTTAACTTAAAAAACCACTTTTGACAATATACTTTCTTTTTATTTATTTTTTGCACATAATTAATAAATATTGCATATATTAAATAATTAATACTTTTTGTTTAACAAAATTAGGGTTTTGCCCTAAATACCTAAAATACCTAAAAATACCAAAAATTAATTCATTTTACTTTTGTTTATTTGACACATGATAAATACTCTTTTACATACATATGAAAATCATTTTTGAATTTTGCATATTTATCTTATTTTATTTAATTATTGTGCAATTAATTAATTTGTATAATTTCAATTTGGATGTAATAGTTAGATTTTAATTTTTTGCTAAAATATCCCCATTTGAACATTTGTACCCCCCATCCCATATATTGTATTGTAATAACTTAGGACCTTTTATTTTTTGCATTTAAAAGCTTTCTAATTATACCATGATAGAATTAGGGTTTTGTATGCAAAATTAACCAAAAATAGTTTGACCTAAATTCAAGATAAACAAACATGAAAATGGACAACACTAATCACACTTGCACCCCTAGGGTACTCCACTTGTTGCCTTCAATAAATGGGCCATATTGCATGTTAGGTATCTTTGGCAAAAACAAAACAATCAAATGATCATAGTCCCTCGATGACGCTTTCGAAAGTTGCCTAAAAATGATCAAGTCCCTTAAAGGAAAAATTGTCCAAAGATACTTGGCACCATTGCAATCATGGTCTAAACGATGACCCGCGCCCGTCCCGTTAACATCCTAACACAAGATTGTCCACCAAATACAATGGTGGAACAAAATTGTTAAAAGGGTTAAAACATAGCAAAGATCTTTGAGAAATTTAGGATAGATAGCTCTTGGTTACTTGCCAACTTGCAAAACAAAAAACCCTTGTCTATTTTTCAAAATACACATCACAACACATTTTCAAAATAACTTTCAAAAACATTAAAAACTTTTCAAAAGACATACATCTTTGTATACATCCCAACATGGATCATTACAAAGGTTGCCACCACATTGGCCTCTTTTCAAAACATTTTCAAACCCACACACGAAGCACCATTTCAAACAATTGAAAACACAATTTCAAACAATTGAAAATCAAGGCAAGTTGATCCAAGCAAGTAACTAAGAGCCCATGGATAACCATGGATAGAAAGGGTGTTAATACCTTCCCTTTCTATAATCTACTCCCTGAACCCAAGAAAACATCTCAAAGGTTTTTGCTGTGCTTTTTAACCTTTCCTTAGGATAAAATAAAAAGTCGGTGGCGACTCTTGCTCAACCGAAACATTTGCGAAAACAAACGCAAAAACCCAAGTCAGTTCTCCCACCGTATCACAATCTCGTTGATCAGAAACCCAAACTGAATACTCTAGTGTGATATCTAGAAAATCGGAGAGTTGTCAAGCTCGAGTATCATTCACCCTCCATTGACAACGAAGGAAAGATACGGTTCACTATGCTTGAACTGAAGACAGGTGATGATTTGAAGGCTTTGTGGAGTACCTTTTACCATTACTTAATAAATATTCTGATTGAAGTGGATGCGACGATTTAAGATCATCCGAAGTATTATAAGAATGTTGCAACGTCCTGAACCACCCGTTAGTAATGACATGTAATGTTAAATTTATGTAATGTTTATCTATGTAATGTCCCGATCCACCCGTTTATAATGACATGTAATGTTAAATTTATGTAATGTTTATTTTGATGTTAATTTATGTTGGTTTTTCATTCTGCTATTATTTTCTGTCTGTTTCTGATATGAACTAACAGAGTATCTGGAGTTTTCAAATATGCGTCTCCGAATCAATCTTTTGTATAACAGAGTTGCAACTCCAGACCAAATTTAAATAGAACGAGTGTTTTTTAAACAATTGCACTAAATTGTGTGTGAAAAAAATGAGTCAGAATATACATCTTCGAATACTAGAGACACTTAAAACTTTTCATAGTGATGTGGAAGATTACATAAGAGTGGAAAGAACAACTCTCTTTAAAAATTTAGGGAGAGGAGAAATATTCCTTTCTTTATGCCTTCACATGGGCCAAGCCCAATAAACAAACACACATTCACTCTTTTTGTCTTTTTATTTCTTTTAAGAAGTGAATTCGATTGTTAATAAATTTACTTTTGCACTAAAAAAAAGTGTAAGGAAACCAGTTGAAGGTGTAGCTTCTTGATAAATGTCAAATCATCTCATTTGGGTGGGTGAGTTTAATGAGGATATTATCCAGATAGAGATTCCATTGGCGTAAGTTATATGCGTATATTATAAAAAAAGATCGATTTATAGATTATGAGACCCTCATTCTGCCACTACAATATATCCCTTTGTTCTGTACCAAGTTCCTCTTATCAACTCTTTGAGCATATCCATGAAGGACAGTTTGAGAAATACAAAATTTCATCACATTAAAAATTTTATTATTATTTGCTAAAATTCTTTATAAGTGTAAAATAGAAGATAGATGAACTAGAACCAAATTCTGCAGATAATTTTCACAGATTGTCACATGAAATATCATATTCATTAGGCAGAAATATTTTCATCCCCCTAATTATTTCCACTAACCATTAATTTACATAATAAACCTAATCATGCTTCTTTCCTTTGAGCTTTCCTTTGAGCACACCAGCATCCAGCTTTCTATAATTATGTTGCATCTGACCAATGACTTTGTACACGAATTCGTCAACTTCGTCCTCATACTTTTCGTATAGAACTGGAAGCGTATGTGCAGCAATAATACCAATATAGATGACAGTCAGAAAATTGCACCAGCTCCCGATCACCGAACCAGCCCACAAACTTGCTACAGCCTGCGAGCATTTCAACCTTCAAATCACAAATTCTGGTTTCTATCACATACGAACTAAGAAAAGGTTAAAGAAGCCCTTTCCATGATACATCAATAACAAGTCACGCAATTTAAAGATCATGTTGAAAACATCAGAAGAAAAGGAATTGATTGAATAGCAAGCACTGGGGAAAATATGCATGTTATAAGGTTAACTCTAGATGATAAATGGCTGTATCAAAGTAAGTAAGCATAACTAGAAACATACAATGAGAAAAAGCTTCAAGTTTCCTTCACAAGAAATATCTTGAAGAAACCTCAATCCACGGTTAACCTCATTCCCGATTACAGTTGCAATATTCACAAATAACTCTTCTGGGACAACAACACGGGGCACTTGAGATGGTGTACTGTCAACATAAATCACAAATCATAATCAATTAAAATTGCAAAGTTGAGAAACACATCCACATATAATGATGATATGTAAAGTTGCTCAAATCAGTCACCTGTTAAACAAACCAGAAGCATTTGACCATAGAAACTGCGCAAGCATGCCAAGAACCAAGGCAAAGCATAGAAGAGAAATAAAATTATAATTGAGCCATTCAAATAGCACCCAAACAATTGTCGCACCAGTTAAAAAACTAGCAGAAATCTTCTTGTTCCTCCATAACATAACATCCGCAGCTGTAGCATTTATAACCAAAACAAAATTAGAAGAGAATTAAAATACTTAGTATATGTAAATCAGTACATCTTATCTTAAATTGAGTATAAATAAATACCATACATTTTCCACCTCCTAAAAGATGGTGTACAGGTTTGTCGCGTCCAAACAGTCTGTTGATCTCGGAGCTCACTGATTTTGATTTATCTTCCTCGAAGAATGATACTTTCTTTGGCCTGTCCGATAATGTATCCACAAGGTTGTGGAGGAGATTTTCTGCTGTGATTTTATCAGACATTGTTCCTGACTTCTGTGCTATCTAAGAACCAAAGAGAACATCGTCAAAAACTATTGAAAACAACTCTTACACCAAACATCAGTTTATCTTCATTACCACAACATAAGAGGTTATCTTATTGCTAACTTCAAATTATGAAATTCTATAACAAGGTTACTGCTATACCCATTATTGTAACCGGAGATTAAAATCGTTTCAGCCACTGAAGCCAAGTTAATTCTAGTAGATCATAACTGAAACATATATAGCTAATACTTAATTTAATCTTTGTGTATTTCATATTCATCAAATTTACCATGGATGGTCAAAATTTCATGATATAAGCATAATTTTGATGCGATATCGCGGCCGTGTTACAAACATGTTGCCATCCCTTTCTACCTATGTAGCACGGACACTTCAGATCAAAGGTGTGTCTGATATCCAAACATGTTAGTATCCGACACCAACATGACACTAACACGCAAGATAATTCAATCAATTTTACTTTGAAATTCACAAACATGACTTATACATGAAACCAAGACATAAACCAATCAAAACCAGAAACTATAAGATACAATTATGAAAACACAATCAGAAGATAAGAAAGTGAAACTCACTAACCAGAGTAAGAAGAAGAGGAGGCGAAGATTGAAAAGTTCAAGATGGGGGTTGGTTGGTATTTGATAGAATTGAAACTGTTAAAGAAATAGAGAGAGCATGTAAACGGTGAAGAATAACAATAACTGACCAAGTGGTCAACTACCAAACATACAAGTCACGTGTTATTTGTTCTACCTATTCAATTCAATTTTGATTTTGGTTTCCAATGTTACAAAAGGGTCAACATTTTTTTTAAAAGAAAAAAAACATCGTCAAATCATAAATTCATAATGACCCCATTATTATGACTAACATAAAGATTAGCACCTTGTGTTAACAAGTTATAAAATAATATTTCTAGAAACTTTGGAATTATATTCTCAGTGTTTGACTAAAAATAAAAATTTCCGGAAATGCTTACATATTTTATTTAATTAAAAATTAGTGGAAAGTTGTAGTTAATTGTATTTTATTTTCATAAAAATGTTAAATTAAATATAAAAAAAAGTCATGTGTAAAAATATTCCTAAAAATAAAAAATATTTGAAAATAATTTTAAAAAACTTAACACGAACATGAAATTATTTATTATTATCACATTTTTACAAATATATTTCTTATTCTTAAAACAAACACACCTTTAGTCTTTCCCTTTTTAGAATCTACATAATGATATATTTATTTTTTTATTAAATATATTTTTCATTTTTATCTCTACAAAATTTTTATGTATACAGTTTTAATCATGTTATTTTTTAAAAATTTAAAAATTGTTTATTTTTTCTTAAATTTTTAAATTTTTTAATAATTTTTTTCATACGTGTTTAAAGTACTATAAAATATTTCTTTACTAAATTTTAGAATTTTTTAAAATGAAAAAATTAAATATGAATTTTAAAAATTTTAAAAAATATTGATAAAACTAATGAAAATCTCGATTTATAAATAAAATATTTTGAGTTTTTTTTTTCGAGAAATTTTTCATAACATTATAAATATGTCTGCAAAAATAATCATTCAAAAATAAACATTGATTTAAAAGGAGACTAAAACTACCTCCATAATAATTTTGTAAGAATCAAAACATGCAATATATATATAGAAAAAACAAAATTTGATAATTTATAGAGGCTAAAAATATATTTAATCCTTTATTTTTTAAGAAATTCTAAAGTAGTATTATTTTCGTAGTAGAAAAAAAAAAGCTTTAAATTTTAAAAAAAAATCAATATAATATACAATTCACAATGCAAATTAGCACTTTTCTTCATTTTATAATATCTTATTTATAATTTTTTAACATTTATCACAACTTAATAATTTGAAGATATTAATTAATTTTTTTAGGAAAAAAAACGTAAATCTAAAGACTTGATTATAACTTTTTTCATAATTTTTATAATATGCGCTTATCATGATCAACATTGTTTTATATTGGTTAAATTTTTTATAGGTAGACGAAATAGTAATTTTAGATTTCGACTTTCCTAAGAAATTATTACGGAGTAGGTCTCACCTCTTTTTCAGGGGGCAAACTGTTAGCTGCACAAGCCTGCCTGGATGGCGCAAATAGGAATATGGAGAACATGCCCGTCGAGTTAAGGGTAACAATCCATATATACTAGTAGGCAAGGTAAGGAGGTACTGGCTCAGTTCTTATAATGGTTAATCGTTGGCCCAAATATCTAAGATATGAATTTATGGCTAAGTATGGGTATTACATATGAGAATTCATCCCATCAAACCAATTCTCAATCACCATTAAGGGTTAAATCAATCACATTTAAGGGTATTAATTGTGTATTACAAAAAAGAAATTAAATGGCGCAATAAAAGGAAGAGATCACAAAAGAGAAGATCATCTATAATTTTCACTGATAATAATGTGAGCAATTCTACTGATTAGGCATAAAAAAATTATCAATTAGTCTATCCAACGTGTATATTTAGAGTCTACTATGGGGTTCGTTAAAACTAACTTGGGCTACACACTTCCATTATAATAACAGTCCATCCTCGTTTCATGATGACAAGGGTTTCACCAATAGTAAATTAATCGCCATAGTGATGATCGAACCGTCATAGCGAAAATGTTGATGGTTATAGAGAAATTGTGTCGTTAGAATGAGACGTTACATGGGAACGTGTAGGGCCTGCAACAACATTAGATGCAACCTGTAATCAACGATATGGAGGATCTAGTGGAACCATATCCCTTATCAACAAAGATCTTGGACACGTTGGCCCTGGATAAAAAAAAACAAGCCTTCCTCCCTAACAATGTTTGATGGAAAGAGAGATCTTTAAGAATACATCATTTCTATCAATACACATATGGCCTCCTTTAAAGTTACTAATTCCCTTAAATGCAAACTGATGGTGAGAATGTTGAGGAGGCAATCCTTTGTTGGTACATGAGCCTCCTTAGGCTCTCTATTGTGGCGGTAGAAATGTGCAAGACTAAGCCATTGGATTGACTAGACTTTATATAAATCAAAATAAAAATCGCCACCGCGCTTTATTGTTTCCAAAGGAATGGGAAAAGAGCGAATAACCCAAAAAGAGGGGGAAAGATTCAAGGTAAGGGGGTTGGTTATGCAAAGGGAAGGTATTAGCACCCTAAACATCTACGGTACTCCGCAGGAACCTCTTTGAAAAAATTTGTATATTTTGGCTATAAAAATGCGTTGTATATAAAATGGATGGTGGAGGTGAGAAAAGAAATATTTTTATGATTTTTGCACCCGCCGCGGTTGCGAACCTTTAGTGCCTACGTACCACCTTTCGTGCAATAGAGGATCAGGGTACACGTAGTTCCTCTTTAAAAATTTTGAAACACAAGTGTGTTGGTTGATTTTATGAGATAAGACATCATCGTAATTGTCCGTGTGAAAAACATACTTACTACCCACAATCATGAGAAAGGAGAATTTGCATTATCTCAAAGTGGAGGATATGGCTTGGATTTTAAAATCAACAATGCCTCACTCAACACCCAAGTGGAAAATATCTCACTTCACTACATATTGTAGAAGTATAGTTGTTTGCATCACTACAAGGATTGACAAGAGTCTAATCTTTTGAGAAAAGTTTAAAGATAAAAGCCAAAGTGGCAAAATGGTTTGAAATGAGATAGATTGACTTTTAGTCTTCTCACAAAAAAAAGGTCAATGTATTATTAAATTGATTGAAATTTATTTATGAAAATGTTTCGAAGATGCATGGACCTAAGTCCAAGTTTATTATGAAAATGTTTCAAGTTTCAAAACAAGAAGAGTTTTTTTTAAAGGAGGGAGAAGATTTTTGAAATTAAAGAAGATGGGAGGAGAAGAAGAGGCTATCCTAAAGCATAAGGTAAAAGTTAGGGATAAGAACCATCTAACCAACAAGAAGCCAATACTTGACATTATGAGTCAATATAGAATTCTCATTCTTCGGATTGAAACCAAGCAAACAAAGATACTAGACCTCTTGAGAGAACCAAACTTCAAGTGTTTTAAGTCTTCGCAAAAATTGGGCAGAGTAACGGCTGTATACGGGTGAATTCCAGATTACAAACAAAGATCGTAATCTCAATAACCTGCACATAAACAAACAAACAACCCAATGTATTGAGGTAAACCTCAAGAACTCCAGACAAAATATCAAATAAAGTCACAAAGTCTCCAAGATAGGCCAAGTTCTCTAATCCTAAGTCCAAGAAGTCCATCACTCCATAATGCAAAGGATAGTAACCATGTAGTCCAAGTATCATTAATGATTTTTATGGTTCATGTTGATTATTAGGTGTCTTTAAAAAGAAAGAAAAGCTCAAGTGAGCAAAATAAAAATGACATAAAAGTAAATGCTCAAGTGAGCAAAGATGAAAATAGCATGAAATGTAAAATGCTAAAAGTAAATGGTACATAAAATATGAAAATAAAAGCGTAAAGTAAAGTTAATTATTAGTAATTAATGGTTAGTTGGATGACCATCTTGAAACTTGCATTTGGAACTCATTAGAGGATTGGTAGAACCAAAGCCTCTACACAACAAGTTGCATTTGCTTTTTGTCAAGTATATCATCCATTTTGGAATTCTCAAAAGACAACATGTAATGATCAACGATGTTTAAGTGATCCGCGTTGACCAAAGGTGTTGTAGATCCATTAGAGGATTGGTAGAACCAAAGCCTCCACACAATGAATCTCAAGGTTATTGGATCAAAGAGATCAAATTAACATACTTGGGCTTGCAATCATAAGTTTAGGCCATGAATAATCATTTATTCGAATCGGGACAAAATTTAGCGCTATGTTAAGCAATCGTAAGTGGACTTATGTAGAAGTCACACCTATTTTGAGGCCGGTCAATAGCAATCTATGTACTTCATGTTTGGATAAGTTATATAGAGATAACCATCCCTTAACATGTAG